GTCTATCGTCAGGAAAGTATGGATACAGTGGGGGTGGTCGTAATCGTAAATGGTAGAGGCGGAACGAATGAATGGTGTACAAATAATAGTCGTCAAAATTACCCCGAGCGTAGTCGTAATCATTAATGTCATCGGTAGCGGGCAAGGATCTTCGGGCCCTAAATCCAACACTTGGTCCTATCCCCTCGGCGGGCAGTCGGTATCCGCAGGCTTCCTCCTTGTGCATTCTTGAGAGAAATCACCACTTTCTGTGACTTCTCCAAGGCCTTGCGGTCCCTCTCCTGTCGCGCGGCGAGGAGTCGTTCGTTCTCCGCGGCAATCCGCTGATTCAAGTCTTTCAACTCCTCACTTCGTTCCTCGAGGAGCTTTCGATAGCCGAGGTACGTCTGCTTCTCCTTGACTTTCTCCTCTCGCCGCTTCATCCTCCTCAGAGCAGCTTCTTCGATTTCACGATTGCGCTCAGCTTCCCGACGCAGCTGCGCCGACTTGATCTCCGATTCTTGAATGGCGAGTTGAACGAGAACGAGGGCACGCTCCTCCTTCAGCTGAAGACGCTCGGTCTTGAGCTTCTCGACCTCGCGATGGAATGGGAGGGTGGCGAAGCGCAACTGAGAAAGAGTTAGCCTGAAATGCCTCAAGGAATTGGTCGCGTTTACGTACACGTATCACTGGGGCGAGTCGCTCCAAGTCTTTCCTGGCCTTCTCAACCGCAGCTGGATCCAGGTTTCGATACAAGGCTCCATCGAGTATTCGGAGCGCATGTTCGAGTTCTTCTTCTTGCGCAGAGCGAAGTGTATACTTTCGCTCCGACAGCGTGCCAGGCTGTGGCAGGTAGTCTCTTAAAAGAGTGCAGATGTCTTTGATCTATCCGGCGATGGGTTAGAAACAGAGGCACGCGATACGCGGGTGCATATACCGTACCTCTTGGCTAGACTGCTCAATCAACGTCTTCAAAAGTCCATGGATATTGAGCAAGCCTTGCTGTTCAGGAAACACGGAGATCTCGGCCCAACGAACAGATTTGGCCGAGGGGGATTTGGCCGAATTCATGGACGAGCACTCCGATACCGAAGGAGGGAAGACAGACGAGTTTGGCGTGGGCGGCAATGTCGTATGGAGGCCATGGTTCTCCTTGTCATACTCGTCCAAATTGGGGATGATGAGGCTAGCAGCGTCGGCAGTATCGGAAGAATACTCCTTGGCATGACCCTCGGAGACTGAGCCATTACGGCTGGAAAGAATACCACGCTGAAGCGTGGAAGATCCAACGGCACTGCGCTTCATAGTAGCGCGGCCCAGAGTCTTGACGGTGTTCCAGCTGGAGGGGGCGGGAGGTGGATCGGCCTTGACGGCAGTGCGCGGCTGAGGCTTACTGGCCACCGACTGCATGTTCGAATGGGCGAGAGGAGGTGACGGGCCCTTTGAAGTCTTGCGCAGTGGACGCAGAGGTGCGACGCTTGTGGGGGCGACGGGGGCTGAAGGGAGCCTCGTATGCCCACGTAGGGCCGGAGGGGCAGATGGGCGGAGGGGGATGGGGGTCGAGGGTCGTGTCGTGCCGGAGGGCAAGGTGCGTAGGCGTGAGACGGTGGGTGATATAGGCGCACGTTGCCTGGGGGTAGATGACGGTTTCGCCGTCTTTGCGTCGCTCCCTTCCGAGCTGTGCTGCGAAGAGGAGGAGCCGGAGGGGCGCGATAGAGACGAAACAGTCATCGTGCGGGTTTGTGCTATCGTGGGCGTTTGATCTGACAAATGAGGAAGTGGCGACGTATGTGTGGCGAATTGCTTCGCAGATTCAGTGGCAAGAGGCCTGGATAAAGTCAGTAGGGCTCTGCCGCTCCAATAGGAGCCAAGGTGGGCGGAAAGCAAAACTCACAGTGTGGGGTGACAAGAAAATAAGAATATCGCAGCCGATGGGGGCTACTGGCTCGCAAAAATGCAAGGGATGTGTAGAACCAGATCCTGTGGGGACGGTAGAGCAAGAGGAGAAAAGAGGCCGCGGCATGGGGCAGGAGGGGTATTTTATAATAAAAGTCCTTCCCCTTCTAACCCAGCTCTGGTCTCGAGCGCTACGGCATGTTTGTTCTGTAGCTGGTTCTGCGGGAATTTACTTTTCTCATGTGCTCAGCGGCGGAACGTGCGGCTGCCCAATCAGCGTTCGTCTCGTCTTTTACTGAATAGTGAGCTTTGCCGAGGTGAATATATCGAGGGTGGTGTGACAATATAGAGGGCGATGTGACCTCTCCGAAAGAGGCAAGTGACTTTGGCGAGTGATAGCCACCTTTCTGGCACGGGAACAGGGCCGAGGGAAGAAGCTAGAGCGCCCTCTGCCCTGCAGCTGGTGAAAGAGATAGTGAAATCGTACGACGCAGCAATGTGGGTGCTGCGGCCGAATTTGATAACCAAAATCGGGGAAATACGCCCAAACTAGCCTGATCGAGCGAGATGTCCTGTTTGGCTGTAGGCGATGCGCTAGTGGGGTCAATAAGTCACAGAAATAGTGCTGGGTGGCACGCAAGTCGGTGATCTGCAATCTAAATGAAAACCAGTGCCCGGCAGCTGAAAGACCCACGGCCGTACTCGTCGACGTAGAGGCCATATAAGCAAAGAAAATCACGCGTACCAGCTCAAATAGAACTGTTTCAAGTACTCCATGTGTTTTTGTGAATCACCAATCATGTCCTTCCCCTCTATCAGTCCGACTGATACGGAGAATGTAGTCGTCTTCCAGATATTTGCATAGAAAGGGGCTTCAAGCTTCATAGGGCCTGAAAAGCTTTAGTTCACATCCAAAAATACGTACCGGTATCGCCATAACGGAATCTTCGGCTTGACTGCCAATGGCATGGACATGATTTAATCTAAACACACCCAGGAATTCAAACTTTCTTTGAGAGAGTATTGTCCGACCAATGATAGACGATCGAAAAACGAGGCCGATAATATTATGCTCATGCGAGGTACAAAACTCGGGGTGTATGTGGGCAAATAAAGCTCGGGTGGTGAGCCAGTCTATTCGTCTTTCTCGATATATTTATCTCGGATATCTTTCCATTGTTTCTGTGGTGATAATAAATCCAGTTTGTTAGCGGTTAGGATTTCGACATGGCCGAGGACGAGAGTCGGGCGGGAGTTGAGGACAGCAGAGAATTAGAAATGTACATACTCCTTTGTTCCAATGATCCCAGAACGCATTGGTGGCACCGTTGAAGCCAATGCTAAAGACAAAGGCCGAGCCCATAATGGTGGCGAAGAAGACGCCTATAAAGGAGATATAATAAGTTATATAGCACCAAAAAAGGTGGACCAAAGTTCGTAAAGGCTATACGTACTGTTTCGTCTGGCAAAGGCGTTGTAAAAGGAGCTGGCCAACTATAGAGAAGTCAGTAAACGACTCTAAGCGGTAAAGATTCAAATAAAATGATTTTTAGAGGAATTTTGGGTCGATACGTACACTCATGGTGTGCAAGCGGAGTTCAAGTTGGATTCCTGCTTGCTTCGACAAATACTGCAGTCACGATTGGCGACCTTGGGAAGGGGCTCAAAAAGTGTTAGGACATGACCTCAAGATATATTGGAAGGATAGAATCACACGTATCACGCAAAATATGCTCTGCGTCGGCCTCTAACCCGGCAGCCAAAAGATGTCTGCGAAAATACGCAACCGCTCCAGTTTCAGAGAGCACAGCATCAAATACAGCACCTTCTACTCCTTCTCTTCAACCTGACAGAGATCCTTCGCTGCCACCAAAACCACCGCCGGGAACGTATCCTCACCCGCACCCTAACAGTCGGGATGACCCACATTCCAACTCGATGCGGATAAATTATCAGCTTCCCGCATCAACAACACAAAAGCGAAATTGGCAAAGCCCTCATATCCCGGCGGGACAAAGTGCGTTCTCGAATACCAACTACAACGCGACAAGTACGGGAAAATGGGCAGGCATAAACACAATATCAGGAATTGATGCGGTATCTGGTTCCATGTTCGATCCAAAGGCACTGGCGCCTCTCTACGTGGTTCATATCAAGTCGACGTCGAACAATACTATCATCACGCTTCATGCTCCGGGTACGCCAAAGTCGCAAAACATCGCGAGGAACACAGCTAGGGGTGGTGCAAAGAGCCCAGTGGCCCCTGGGGCGTATTCTGTGGAGAGCAATCCAGATGCTGTCCCACCTGAACTCGACATGGGAGCTTCCGAGCCCTCAGAAAGTACCCAAGCATCTTCTGGCACTGGATCCGACGTTGTGGTTCAGCCTGCCGTCGCTGATCTTCCGCCGTCTGCCTCTTTCACACCACCAGCGGCCAATAGGTGCATTGGATGGGCATCTGGTGGTAGCTGTCACTATAAGAAGGTCAACCGTAGTACATACGAAGCTGGTTATTCGGCATCGGTAAGTCTCCCCGAAAAGAAAAGAAGCACCTTGACTTATGTCTCTCTCCGCAACGCAATGCAGATACGCATAATTCGACGAGTCGAAGAAGCATTCCAACATGTCGCTGGTGGCGGGAAAATAGAAGAACTTGCGCCAATGAAAGAGGTCAAGGGAGCCACAAGTACGCTCAGCGAAGGTACGCTATCGTCGTCGAGAGTTTCCTGATACAGGTATTAATGCCCCTTTGCCCTCAGCACTTCGCTCACAGGGCACAAGTCGTTCTCCTTTCCGTGTCCGCGTTGTTTACACCGGATTTGGAACAGGAAGGGAAGCATTCAATGCAGCTGTCTTGAGTGCAGATGGTGCATTTATGAGAGGGTTAATTGTGCAGGTACAGGACAAGACCCCCATCAAGGTAGGGGGCTGTAGAGGGAAGAAGACGAGAAGGGTGTAGCCTACATATCGCGATACACTAATTACCGCTCAATGCAATAAGGATCGGCTTCTGGGGCAATGCCGAGTGAATAAGGCGTGTCATAGGGAGATAGACATTGACGAGGAGGCATCGATGATGCCAGTAGCTGTTTATTATCAAACTTTATCCTCACTTCCGAACCGACGACGCTATCGATTAGTGGTTAGATCAGCTCGTTGTGGAACCACTGACCCGAGCAGACGGGTGTTCGAATCACCCTAGCGTCAGCTACAAGCGTCCATTTTTTTTCCGGCGAATTCTTTGGATATTCGTCGTTCGGTATTCATCTTTGCTTTTAATTTCATTTTGTCGGCTTGCTGTGCATCGGTCATTAGGCAGTGCTTCAAGGAAACCTCGTTCCAGGGGACGGCTCCCCTGGAATCAACCCGAATCCTGGAGGGTTCTTAATTCGACAATTCAGTACTCGCCTCTTTTATTACGAGACGAAACGTGTCAGCGCGTCTATTCACGAGGCTAACGCCCGAATTTCGTTACGATGGCCAGGTTGGGTGTGGCTAGGAATCGAATGCCGGACGGACCACCCCGTCCGCGCTCCTCGGACAAGCAGTCAGATCGACAAATAAGAACTGTGGGAATATCCAATTCGATTTATTGGGTTCAATCTCGAGAGAGCGAAAGAGCATGCCAGCGAATTTCAAGTGCGGAAGAGTGTCACAACTTGGCTAGATTGGGTTTAATTGGTGGGCGTTAGAATACGTACTCAAATACTTTTATTATAATTATTTATTTCAATATAGAATATGGCGTTTAAGGCTCCAATGAAGAGCGTTTTCCAAGCTCCAGTCAAGGCCCCTTCGGCCTCCAACAAGTGGGTAATTGGGCTGGTTTTGGGTGTAAAGTCGCACGGAACTACGCTTGAAGACGCGTTGCAAAGAAGCTTCAGGGACGAAAGGAAACAAAGGACCCGCAGTGGCGAGTGACGGCTAAGAGTGCATACTGGCGGGCGGCTACCACCCACTTTTTCTAGTATAAATGAATTGTTTTAAACTCTAAAAGAGTCTGTCGTCTTACTGTTTGAAGTAGAGTCAGCAGGCACTGAGGCCCCTGTGGGTTGTGGGTAAGTCAATGACCGCAAACTTAGATGTCGACAGCAGCCATTCAGAAGCTTTTCATTTCCTCTCCCAGATTCGCGGTGCTCGGTGCTTCCGTGGATCGATCAAAGTACGGGAATAAGGTCCTCCGTTGGTACCAAACGCATCAACTGCCCGTCGTGCCAATTAACCCAGTCAGTTGTATTTTGAAATAGCTGTTTGGCTTGCTCACTACGCCGCGACATCGACGTCCAAAACCAGAAAGTTGAAGAAATCGAAGGCATAAACACGTTGGCAGCCCTGGAAGATCTTGATAAGCCCACGGAAACTTCCTTGAGCATTATAACACCACCTGCGGTAAGGTCTTTGCAGAGGCGAATGATGATTCTCTCTTTGCTCTCCACACTAGTGGCGTTTGACATTGACATTGGTTACACTGGCTATTGCCCCTCCCCTTTAGGTCACACTGGCCGCGCTCGAGAAGGTCAAATCACTCGGTATACCGGCTGTTTGGATCCAACCAGGAGCAGCTGATGATGCAGTCGCCCAATACGTAGTAGAGAATAATTTGGCTGAAAAGGTCGTGTACGGTGGTCCCTGCATCCTTGTTCTCGGGGAAAGATTGCTCGCTCAGAGCCGACTCTAAACCACGCACGTCGATGGAGGTATATGCGTTGCATAACAATCAGAATAGACACCCGATTCTGACATGCTTCCGTCATTCGGTATCGCCACTTGAGATGTCAATCTCGCCGGCCTGGTCTGTATTCTATTACCTTTCAGGTATGAATGACGGTGGCGTTTTTTTTTTCCTCCTTTTCTTTTGAAAGTTTAGACACTTATTGCAGGGGCGGCATTGCCTGTCCGTCCTGACTGACTTGGCCGCTCCTAAAAGAGCCTCCCCTCAATCGAAATACATAATCCAACGGCACACTCTCGGTTGAGACGGTCCTCTTGTGCGCTTTTGCCGGTCATGTGGACGATCAATTCCCCGTTGACCATCATTTCATCTCCATTCCACCGTATTACAGCCCTCCTCCCCCTTCCCCTCTGTCTGCCGCCCGGTTCTTCTTTGATCAACGCTTAAAAAGGGCCCTCACCCAAGCTTATTTTCTCATTCCACGTTGACTGCCACCCTCGCCTTATTCCCCCTCTCACTGCTCCTGCTGCTATCCTGGCTCGACTATAAAAAGTATGGCCTCTCAACGCTCGTCCAACTCTTCATCAGACCCCCAAGACATCAACGATATGATGTACGATTCCTATACGCACAATCAATCACAACAACGTCACGCACCTCACGCGCACGATCACAACGTAACGCCGTCGAATGGATACCCTCACCCGTCTCACTCACCCGTAGGCTACCTCTCTTCTTCTTTTACTAAAACCAATTTCGATCTCACACGAAAGTTTTGTCCATCCGTCTTTAGACTTCTTTGCAAAAATATGCTCTCTTCCCGCCCGCCCCATTGCAATCTGTGACGCCAGGCCCTGGCATGCCATACCAACCAAATTCAGTCGGGACTAATTCATTCCCTTCTTCCTCACAGCAACATCAACAGCACCTGTCCCACCACTCATCCGGATCGGATACACCCGAGCCGCAAACCTCCGGCAACAGGAAGCCCAACGCCTGCCAGCTGTGTAACGCGAGTTTCGAACGTCGCTTCGATCTCAAACGCCACATGCACACTCATAGCGATCAGAAAGAGTTTATCTGCCCACGATGCGACAAAGCACTGGCCAGGAGCGACTCGCTAAACAGGCACCAGGCCGTTTGCAAGGGGCCGCGGACTGTCGCCCCTTGAACCCACTAGAACCCACCCACCCAATCCACCTATTCACCCTTTACCCCTCTGCCCTCACCCCTGTGACTTGACAGACACCCGACTCGACAGTTGAACTCGTTCCGGCCTGCCCGCTCACCACTCGTTCGGGCACCTTGACGAGCTTGTCGGATTATTATGAAGGGTGTCCTTTGGTCATTCCACCGGGCACGCAAGTTCTTGGAGGGCACACATACACACATTCTTGGTGCCGCATTTCAGTCTCATATTTTTGCCACGACCCCATCGTTATTCTGATAACCGAGCAAGTAATTTATCTCGCTAGCTCCATTCGGGAACACGCCACGCAGTTCAATTTGCCTTATTTGTTTGCATTAACGTTTTTGTATTTTGAGTTTTGTTCTTTTTCTTGGGTTTTAATTCACCGCCTTTACTTGACATAAGCTCTGCCACTAAGAACCCCTTTGTGTGTGCTCACTCCTATACAACCTTGGCCCCAAACAACTCGATGGAACCAGACGACACAACTCTGGCGTTGGACAGATCAATCAGACGCGCACAAGATCTTCTCAAACTTTTATCCGGAGATCAACCACGTCAACGGATATTTGACTTTATAGATGAAGATCCCAGCGTACCTCTCTGGGTGCAAGAGGAGCAAAGTGAATGGACAGTCCTTCACTTTGCGGCGCATAGAGAAGACGATCAGATGGTAGCTAGATTCATCGAGCTGGGAGCGAATTGGAACCTGTGTATGTATTCAACACAGTGGCCGTGTGTGTCGAAACGAGCAAATTAACCACATTTTACATAACTCCATCGCACTCCAATATACACGCAGTGGACGCTCAGGGTTTCACGGCAGGGGAAGTCGCGCTTTCCTTAAACAACGTGGCATGCTACGAGTCGATTCAGCAAGCAGGGATACGCTCAGGTTCGGCATCCTCACCCGTTTGACGGTCTTTTGGAATTGAATATCCATCGTCGAGCCTAGAATTTTTGTTACACCTTCTCGATTCAAAGTCAGGCGGCAATCAGGAAGAAGGCGACGATGAGGACGAAGAGGACGACGCCGGTAGGATCGTGCTTCAGGCCAAGGACGCCACTCCCGCGGGATCTAGCTCGGCCTTTTTAGAGGCCAGGCTGACCTTTACGGTTGGCGCAGACGGTCAAGAATTGTGCTTGGTCAAATCTGGGAGCGAAGAGATCGGCGTGATGATGGGTTGGGAGCGTCCGATCAGTACGCCATGTCTCGCCGCACTGAGATGATTTGAGCCCTGTTTTTGTTGAAGCTGTTATCCGCCAGTGGAAGCTTCTGTTCGGTTATTACACCAGGATAACGACGGGCCAGACTACCGCGTGTTGAATTGCGGCTTCGGGTTGGGCATCGTAAGCCTTGCTGCCTTGCTTTTTACACGGGGTCGCCTTTTATTTACACTGTCGTTAGATTGATGGCTTGCTGCAAAACTGGAAAACTGGGCCCCCGGCGCTCCATGTCATTATTGAGCCGCACCCGGATGTGCTCGCGCACATGAAGAAAACGGGATGGTACTCACGCCCAAACGTTCGGATCCTCGAGGGCAAATGGCAGGATTTCATTGACTCTGAAGAGGTCATGGGCGTAGGCGGGTTTGACGCTGTATACACGGATACGTTTAGCGAAAACTACCAAGACCTCTACAGCTTTTTCGAGAGAGTCCCAGACCTGTTGCGTGGCCCAGACTCTGCCTTTAGCTTCTTCAATGGATTAGGAGCAACTAGTGAGTTGACCCCGCACCTGTTGGGCAGGCAAACACGCTAAAGTCTTGAAGACGCCCTCTTTTATGATGTGTACACCAACCTGGCAGAGCTACACCTCAAGGAGATGGGATGCCACGTAACGTGGACCGATGTGGACGTTCACGCTGCACAGCGAGATGGTATATGGGGAAACACCCGCAAATATTTTGCATTACCCTACTGTCGCATACCACTCGTCAAGATGGAAATATAGTAGGTTATGCAAAATTAAATGCTCAGAGGTCATAGTCCGCCTCGTTTTGAATTTCGTGACCTAGCATTTTCCACATCAACCCCGCCCCTAAATCCTCCTTCCCATCGTCGCCGGCGTAAATGGAAGTTTGGGACTGAGTTACGTGATTTTTCTATGATAGCGAATAAGCGCCAGCACCGGGATAGACACAAATGCTTACAAGGCCGACTGAAACCTTGATCATAGGTGGCCCAGGAGTGTACTTTTCCAAAGCAGCAGTCTCGCCTTTGGTAATAAGAGCGGCAATATTTAGGGCAGCTATGTCACCCTATTTCTTGTAAGTTGTCTATCTCTAACGAGGGAGACGTCTGAAAGCTCACCTGAAAGTATGCCGTATGCCCCGCTTTGATAGC